ATAGAGAATTTAATTAGTGTGAGGCGCCTCAGTTTCGTGGTTGATGGTGATCTCCACGGGCCGTTCTATGCTCTGAAGGGCATGCCTCAGGGGTCTACTTTGAGTCCGCTGCTTTTCGATTTATATCTTAGGTCGCTTGACCAACATCTGCAGCATGGCACTCGTTTTCTTCAATACGCCGACGATGTGGTATTGTTTTCCACGCATAAGGATCTGGATGTAGCAGTGAAGTCAGTTCAGTCATCATTGGGGCGGATCCGTGACTATTTGAGGTACAGGAATCTTGAGATATCTTCTAGCAAGACCAAATTTATGATTTTTAAAAATGGCAATCCCCCAAAGGCCACAGTGAGGTTGATTATCGGTGGGGTGTCAATCCCTAGAGTCTGTGTTCATCGTTTTCTTGGAGTGTTGTTGGATTGCAACCTCAGTGGCAGGCAACATCTCAAGTATTTGATCAGTAAGGGAAGAAGGATTGCTGATATCGTGGCTGTCTTATCCAGTGTTACCTGGGGCTCACATCCCGGATTGCTTCTTACCATTTATAGAGCCATTTTTCGTAGCGCCGTGGAGTACGGATGTCAGTTTTTTGTTTGGAACCCTGCCAATGCTGATTTCGTCAAGCTTCAGCGCCTTCAGTACAGGGTCATCAGGAAAGCTATGGGGTATCGCATTTCTACGCCAATCAATGTCATGTTGGCTGAAGCCAAGGAACACAATTTCTCCAATAGGTTGGACTATGTTGCGTCAAGATTTATTTATAAAGCTATGGCTAATAAATTCAGCCTGGTCTATGGCTCTTTGGAGGAGATGGAAATCGCCGTGGTGCAAAGGAATCGTAAAGCAGAGGCTATCAAAATTTCTAGACTTTTCAAACACTACGTACTATCTCGGTACGAGGAAAGCATTGTTCATCGATCTACATATCCTCCAGCTTTCTGGCATACGTATGAGGTGTCATCTCTAGGTATTGCATATATTCAGGACATGCAAGGCTGCGATAAGAAGAACAACCTGAGTTTGATTAAAGCGGATTTCTATCACAGATCTTTTTCGTACAGACAAGGGGCTGTTTCCTTCTACACGGATGGATCCAGGAATTTGGAAGGAGCTGTGGGTGCGGCTGTCTATTCGCCTGATATGAAGGGTACCGTGGAGCACAGATTGCCGCCTGAGACATCCATTTTCTCTGCCGAACTTTGGGCTATCTATCAAGCTGTGTTAGCTGCTGGGGACCTTCAGTTATCCAAGTGTGTCATTTTCTCCGACTCAGAAAGCGCTTTAGAAGCATTGAGGAACTCCAATAGCACACAGCGAAACTATCTTATTTATTACATCAAACAGGCATACATTGAAGTCACTAAACGAGGAACGGAAATTGTCTTGTTTTGGGTTCCGGCTCACTGTGGTATCCCGGGCAACGAGCTCGCGGATCAGTGTGCTAAGCGTGCTGCGCTTGGAACTTGTCGGCCACGTTTCTGGGTGCCATACGAGGATCTTCTGGCTCTGTCAAGGATCGGTGCGAATAATCGTCAGGAGGAATACATGAGGAGAGTCTCGGTCTACGAGGGTAAGGGCACGCAGTATTACGACCTCTTCTATACATCGTCCACGAAGACATGGTTTCACAAGGAATCCCTGTCGAGGAGAGAGATTGTACATATTAATAGACTCAGATCTAATCATGTGAACACTTACGAAAGCCTATATAGGATTGGTATTGTCAGCTCTCCGGCGTGTCCGTGCGGCGATTCCCGCCAAACTGTCAATCATTTGATCTTTCACTGTGAACTATTCAATAAGAATTCTCTTTCAATCCGCAACTACATTGCTAAAAAATTCCCCGATTCCCCTCAGGATCTCCTTCCTGCCCTTTCCTCCCCTTCTCCCAGACTTTGTCGGTTGGTCTTGGCCTTTATGACGGCCAACGATCTTCTCTTTTAAATTTTGCCCCTCTTTCTATCCTTTGGCGCGCTGCTCACCGTTAGGTGGCAGCAGGCGTCTGGGTGATGGGAGGCTTGCGCGTATTCGGACAACTCCTCTAGGAAACTTCCAAATCGCAACGAATCAATTTTCGCGGACATCAGTGGCCTAGCTCAACCCTGGTTGCCTGGCCAAAAAACCGAAGAAGAAGAATAAATCTAATGTCTGGTTTATGCTTCAATCTTAACCCTAAAATCCTGAAATTCAGCCAATGGAATACAGATTTCAGTTAGGATTAATTAAGACTGGCAGCCCTATTGGCTGAATTTTAAGATTTTAGGGTTAAGACCGAAGCATAAATCAAGCATAAGACTCTAGGACTCTAGCTGCGAGTAATGTTTTTAAACATTAGGTCTGTTCGCGTTACTTAAAATCCCTAAAAATTTTTGAACTTAAAATGAGATAGATATATATTTGGACGTTGAAAGGAAAGAAAGCGAAGATGCTGAGTGCAAAAAGTGCATGCAACGCGAACAGACCTATTATTCTCACATAACAACTCACAAAACAAATATTCTTACATTAACGTTTCATCGCAGTCGATGTTTATCAATGGCATCTCTCGCTATGACAGATAATATTAATGTAATTTCAAGACCAAAAGTTAGATTCTGTCAATTTTCCGACAATACACGAAACAAGACAGAGACTGTTGAAGATTCTGGTCAACAACAATCTGGTCTGCAAACAAGTGGTTTAAAAATCAAGGAAATCGTGACTCTTAAGAAACCCATCAGAATTGTAGATCCTACAAAATTTGGAAGTATTTGTGACAAGGATACATCTTCAAGTAATTGTAATACTGGCACTTTGTCACATTATTGTACTACATCTGGCAATGTTCGAAATATGTCTTTGTCCAATAAAAATACGCCAAAAGTCAAGAATATAATGATTCTGCATGATGCAAATGGTATTCAGAATACAAAGAATAGTAGTAAAATGTTGCAACGACAGAACAAGAGTTCACAAGATGATGTTTTAAAAGACAACGCAAAAAATGTACGACAGAATGGAAAAGAAAATAAAGATAAACTATTGAATAAGTCTGCATCTAATAAAAATGTAAGCGATACAATAGGAAACTTTCAACATAGTGTACAATTGGTTGCCCGAGAGAAATTTAAACCTTCTGTGGATAATATTCATATACCAAAAGTAAATATTCAAGATTTTAAATCATCAAAAATGACAAAGCCACAATATACATCAAGCAATATAAAAAAAACAAGAAATTCAATGATTGAAGAAAAAATTAATGCAAAATCTGTTTTGTCACATTACAAAACTATGACAAAAAATAAAATATCTCCAGTCAAAAAAATTGTATCCCGTAACGTGTCAGGTCCTAAAATCAAAACATCTGTGGGATCAGTTTTTCACAAGGAACAGGCTAATCCAAAAACAAGTGATGGAAATGAACAATGTATCGTTGCATTGGATGTTACTACGGTACAAGATTTAGCTCAACCAGAATATAACTCTATCATGTGTACTGTTAATAAGCTGAAAGAACTTGAACGGCAGAAAATTGTTGCAGATATCAATCATTTGCCATTTGCGCTAAAGAGTTGTCTAAATGGAAAGGTAAAACAAATTATTACACATACACACAAGCACACGCACGCACGCATTTATTTATTATTTTGAAATCATTTTTTCGTTACAGATTTCTGCAGCACTTGATTTTCCATTGGATGAGACACTTTATAAAAATTTGGTAGATTTGAGTATAGATGAAAAACAATTGCCATCCACCATTACACGAAGTAAGGACCCAGAACCACGGCAAAAAGATATAGTACCGCAACTTTCTGACTTCTTCATACCCGAAGATATAAAGGAAATTTGTGAGGCCGTACATGTTAAGTTTCGGGTATCAAAGATTGATGATAATTGGAATGCCTTTAAAATTAGCAACAGGATACTCGAATGGAAATACAGTATAGATGATATAGATTAGTGTTTATTTTTCCCCTATATAATTTTGTTCAATGAAATTGTTCAAATTTTAAACTGTATAATATCAACAGCGTAAGTAAAAAGTTACAAGAAAAATATTAACTGACAATACAATTAATTAATAATACAATAAATATTTAATACAATAAAAATTAATAAGAATACCAAAAAATAAAGGCAATTTATTCGATATATATTTTTTTTTCTAACAGAAGAATAAATTATTAGATATATTTTGTTTAATTTTTGTTTTATTTACTCGTGAAATGATATTTTTATTGATTTTTCATCAGAATCAAATTCTGATGGCATTGACACAGAATTGTTGCCATAGTATCTCCGTTGTAGATAAAGATAGATACAACATAAATTGTAGTAGAGACATGTACCAGCCAGTACCATTCCGATTACAACTCCAGCTATGATTATCCTATTAAAATATCATTACACTGGTTTTAATACATCTAAAGTATGATGAATTTTCCAAATGTAAATGTATTATACTATATATTTACATAGTAATCCATATATCATAGTCTTTGTAACTGCAGCATACATTTTCGTCGCAGCAATACTCTGATGATTCACACAAACCCCATACGCAGTAATGTGCAATAGTCTGAAAATATATATACACAAAACAATACACACATACACACACACACACGCGCGCGCGCGCGCGCGCAAGAAAAGAATTTTCTCTTAAAATTTATCCTGAAGATATGGTATAGTGTGATACAATATGATATTTTAAAGATTTATACCATACACTTCAGTAAAATTAATCAAACTTATTATATATTTTATTGTACTTTTATTAGCGAATGCGAGAGATTTATATAAAATTCTTCGAAATACCAAGTCCCACAACTACTATATTTTCAGAGTAAATTTTAAGAGAAAATTCTTTC